TATATAATATATATAGCCTAGCTTTATTATGTTTTTCTCCACTCGCAGAAGCACTGCATGATGACCATGTGAATCCTCATGTTCTGTTGTTTGCTGCTTTTTGCGCATGTAAAATTAATGCCCGGGAAATAAATGTTAGTATTTTTAATGGGTCAGAGACACTTATCCTTTCTAATATAATTAAATTCTAATTTAAAATAATCTTGTCGGTTAACGGTTAATAATCGGTTAACGAGCGTGGTTAGGAAAAATAACCGAAATGAACATCCCTAGTGCAAACAGAATACTACACAGTGACGTCATCTTTGGTTTTATTAAGCAGTAAATTTAGTATCACACCAAACGCTATTGTGGTAATGAAATTGTGATGAGTCATGAATCTAGCAGTAAGAATATAACAATAATAAATATACTTTCAATCAAAATAATTAGAGATGCACCGATTGCAATTTTCTTGGGCGATTCCGATTTCTGATTTTTTGTTAGTGTGATCTGCCGATACCGATTTTCGCAGATTCCGATTTTCTTTCTAAGAACTATAATTGACAACATACACAAAGTTTTATTTTCATAAAAGAACACAAGTAAAAAGTCAGTAATAAAATAAGAACAAATAAAAAAAATTGCAAACAACAGCACAAATAAATGCAATAGAATAAAGAGTGCTATAAAAGTTTTTCAGGTTAATTAAGTTTTTATTCAGTTAAGAAATACTACAGAAATTAAAGTAATCAAATGTAAAATAACACATCCAGTGTTATTTTACATTTGATTACTTTAATTTCTGTAGTGTTTCTTAACTGAATAAAAACTTACTTAACCTGAAAAACTTAGTTTCATAGCTCTCTTTATTCTATTGCATTTATTTGTGTATTTTACATTTGATTACTTTAATTTCTGTAGTCTTCATTGTAAAAATTAAATACAGATTAATGCTTACCATTAAAGTTATAAAACGTATTCAGTCAAGAGCAGAAAATTATTTTCTTTGTCTTTTGTTCTTTGATTAACATGACAGACAGCAGCATAAATACTGGACTGTGATCCATTTAAGAGTTTATCCACGGACCCAATATACTGTTACACAACATGCGTTGTCTTTCTTAACTATTTAACGCTCCAAATATGACTGTGTTTAACTGGATACTCGCCAAAACAGGCATTTTGACAATTTTTTATGTTTTTGAACGTTTTAGCGCAGTTAGCCACTCATTTCGGTATTTCTGGCTCACAAGCTGTTTGAGACTGAGCGCGGAGTGTGCGCTCCACTAATATAGATCAGTGGTGGTGCGCGCGCGTTTGGTATAAGTGCGAAACCTGCGGGAATGACTAAAATAATGCTAAATACAAGCACTATTTAACACGAATGAGACGTGTGTGAGAGAGAAGGGGTCGTCGGAGAGAAGAGAGCGAGAATGCTCGGCTGACATTATTGCCTGTGCCACAGGTAACAAAACGGATCAGCTCGAAATCGGAAAGAAGTGAGACTGACCAGCCGATCACCGATCCGGGCCGATCATGAGGAAAATCGGCCGATTCCGATCCCTGGCCGATCGATCGGTGCATCTCTAAAAATAATCATGTTGATTCAAGCATTTAACATTTATAAGTTACTTAAATGTCAGTAATGAATAATACTGCACAAATTATAGCGATCACGAAGAAGGTCCTTACTCTGTCCCAAACGTGTACAGTAAAGTGGATATACAGTAAACAACACCCCATCAGTTTTCAGTTCTATACTGCCACTCGTTGGCGCAGTTGTGTAACTTAGAGAACAACTTTTGTTATGTTGAGAGGAACACAAGAAAATTAAGTCGTGATAGCGAGAAAACAACTTTCGTAATGTTGAGAGCATGAGAAACAAGAAAAAATAATAATCCATGGCCTCTTAGGACCTCCGTATGATAGTGTTAGGGGCTTTTGCAAATTTCAAGCAAACAAGACATCCTGACCTATATAACGTTTTGACAATTAAGTGCTGCCCCTCAAAAAAAATCCCCTCGATTTCTGTCATTTAAAAATGTGAAATAAAGCGCTCTGCAAACTTTTTCAATGTTAAATCAGTGTTGTCTTTGCTGTGTGGTACTTGTCTTTACATTAAAACCTTCATGCTTATTGCCTGCCCAAATGTGAAACAATAAATCACTGAGAAACATCAAATGTAGGCGTTTAACTAAGCTCTCTTCCATTTCCATCTCCTATCGTTATTAAGGTATTCAAGTTTGTAGGTGGGCTTAATCAAATTAACTGTCATGATCCATTTAGAGACCATCTTAGGATAGATGATTAATCAATTATACAGCTTATTAACAGAAGTGTTAGTTCCCCATTGTCAGATTGTTTTTTCAAAATCTAAAAGAATGTTTGGCCCAAACAACGTAAATTTAGTGAATTTTACTGAAGTGTTGATTATATTTCCACTTTTTTGCAGCAAATTTAAAAATCAATATTGCTCAAACACTAGTGTAATAAAATATCGACTGATCTACTGTCAAGATATCAGTGTCAGCCTTTGAAAAAGACCAGTCATCCACCCCTCCTCAGCCCAATACAACCTTATTCTACACTTACCCAGGCAAACAAACACCCCATTACATTCTCCACATGAGCAATAACACTTTCACTCTGGCTTTTCAGAGCCCAAATGTGTCTAAGTGGTAAATCAGACGGGAGAAAGTGAGATTTATAGAGTTGAGAGGAGGTGAGGGTGACGTTCAGAAGATTTACCCATTTCCAGGCCTATATTTTCAGCCAATGCAAATCAAAATTAAATGAGAATGTCATCTGATATTTACAACTTTGCTCAGCCATTACAGCCATTTTCACACCCCCTGATCGAGATGGATGCATGTTCTGCCTCTCCCAGCCCTACTGTATCTGATACTCAGCATCACTCTCTCAGCCAAGCAGCACAACACATTGGAGAATTCAGAGTTAATAAAACACAATCCATTTTGACTACACTGCATTTGAAGTTGCATTTTTACTCCACTGTCCCCAAGGCTGTCCTCCAGGTTCTACGATCTACCGTATTCTGTCTCCTCAGAACAATATACACATATAGAAAGGCTTGAACACACATTAAAGGTATCTGACATCAGATGAAATGAATCTCCCAGCAGTCCTAGTTTGTGTGTGGCTGGGATGAAAAAATAGCTCAAAACTAAATTCCCTAAGGATAGCCTTGTTTTCGTCCATGGCATAGATACTGACATAGAAACTCAATTGCCATACTATTAAAACAGCAATATGAGGCTGGCAAAGGCAAAACAACTTTGGCTTTATCAAACTTAGCTTGACAAAGGAAACATGAAACTGAAAAAAATACCAATGACTAATAGGGCTGTCGCGATAACCGCAATATCGCAATAACACGCTATTGACGAGCAAACCGCAGAGGAATGCAAGAACCGCAGCAACCGCGATTTTTGCGTGTTTTCTTTTTTC